ATGCTTTTCTCCTTATATGTGAATAAATAAATTTACTTGTGTATGGCATATGACATGCACATTAATAATACATATATAATTAAATATTACAAATATTCATACAAACTTATAGGTGTTTGACATCAATTTAAAATTTAGAAATCATTTTATTTACATTAAAAACTTGGCTCAAATCCACATAAACATAGAGTCAAATTTAACTTTTCAACTCAAATCAAATCCTTCTTTACTCATATTTTGAGGTTAACTCGCTTAAAATTGCTCCATGCCATGCATAGAATTTAGGGATGGAGGTGAAGAAGATCATAACCATGAAAATTATAGACTAAGGAAGTAACATGCTCTCACATTTCAACGATCTTGGAGATATCAATGATATTGAAAAACACCATATTAGGAATTGTGAATTACGGTTGTAATGGTTTTTTATTGTTGTGGCAATAAAGATGATACTCCTTAAAAAAATATAGTCAAACTTTTAAAAATTGAGATATTTTTTGGAGTAACGATTGGAATTCTATTAAAAACTCTTAAGTGTACTTGTAAAGGAGAGCTCCCATGATTGGTGACCTTCTGGGAAGTTATACCAAGAAGACAAAACTATGAGATCATTAGGTCAAAGTGAACAATATCTCGATCTTTAAGAGTTTGAGTTGTAACAAATGACATTAGAGCAATACACCAGCCAGAAGATGGGAACTATACATTTAAAACTTATTTGTTTGGCGGATGATTATGGGCTAAAGATATTGACAATAATATTAGTTATTTAAGTGGAAGAGATTGTGAAACATAAGTTGAATGAAGTTAAGCTCTTTAATATTGAGGCTTCTTTTGGTTTAATATTAGAATTTCATTAAAACTCCAAAGTTAAGCATGCTCATATAGGAGCGCTCTAAGGACGGGTGATCACTTGGTACTTACACCAAGGGAACAAAAGTTGTGAAGCCATTATTCATTAGGCTAAAGTGGATAATATCTAATTAGATAATAGTTTGGGCTATTACAAATGATATTAAAAACAATACATTAATTGGAAGATCAAAATTAAGTGCTCTTATCTGCCCAGTGGATGATTATGGGCTAAACATACTAACAAGGACTAGGAGTGTTAAAATGGGTATTTGGGTTAGGTTCGGAAAATCGGTACTGATCCGGTTTCAATTTTGTTGACCCGAACTAGACTTGAATTGAAAAATGGGTTAGATACCTGAACCTGAACTGACCTGGATCTAACCTGGGTTGACCTGACTCGACCTACTAATCATGAGGCTACGAGGGCCGAACAGACGAGCGCAAGGAGCAAGGCTCGCCAGCGGGAGAGCACAGGTGTGATTGGAGCGCTTGGTGAGGTGTAAACAAGGGTGTCGAAGCACCTGGGCTTGGCGGGGGGGGGGGGGGGGGGGGGTGGGTCGCGTGGGCGAGCAGACCCATCGTCAGCCAGATTGATTCAGGTTACCTGAACCCGACCCAAATTTTCAATCGGGTTAGAATTTGCATCCCAAACCCGACCCATTTTTCAAATGGGTTGACCTGAACTCGAAATGTTCGGTTCAGGTCAAATATTGACACCCCTAAGAAGGACTTTAGTTGCTTAAGTGGGAGAGATTTTGAAACTCTTTAGAAAAAAAAGCTAGATTCTTAAACATTGAGTCACCCATAAATCCTTTTTCTCCATTGTATTTTGTTAAGAGTCAAATTCTCATTTAAATCTTATAAAAAAAAAAAGACTTTTCTAATATTTTCTAACCAAATTTTTATATCTACCTCTACCTTTCTTAACATAGACCTATTCTAATACCTCTACTCTCCTAATAGGGTCATCTGAAGGTGAAATTATTACGTGCGATCATCGAACGCCATTCAGAAGAGAATTAGGATCGCCACGATACCATTTGTTGTGTACCAGGGTGACGTGGTGCATCCTGATTCGCTTTTAGACGGTCCGGTGATCGCATGCAATAATATTTCCATCAGAAGGCCAACATTTTATATAACCAAATCATCTAAGCCAACTCTCTCTAATCTTATCTGCCACTAGAGCTACTCCAATCTTTTCATGTATGCTCATTTTACATTCTATCTCTAAGAGTAAAGCTTCTCATCCACCTGAGCATACTCATCTCTGTAACACTTAACTTAATTGCATGTTTCTCCTTTATTGGCCAACACTCTACTTCATAAAGCATTGAAGGTTTGAAATTTCATTAGAAACTCCAAAATTTAGCATGCTTATACATGAATGTTCCTAGGATGGGTGACTTTCTGGGACGTTACACCAAAGGGACAAAATTGAGTTATTATTACAAAGTGGACTATATCTTGATGGTGAAGCATTTGAGTTGTTACAACGACACTAACAATAGCTTCAGTGATGATGCGTGTTGGACAACTAAGATGATAGTAGAGGGGGAATACAAAATTGAGCAAAGGAAGGAGAAAATGAAGAGCACAATAGATTGGAATTTTCTTTTAAGGTGGGAAAAGTTAGGCTTAGTTGAATCCATTAGGCTTAGCTTTTTTTTTTTTTTAATTTATTTTTTTTTTAAATCCATTTGGCTTAGCTTAAATGCTTAACATAGTTTAAGTTAGGTTTAAACTTAAACCATGTAGTATGGGCTAATTTAAGGTCTTTTATCACATAAATTTTTCTCAAACATTTTGGATTTGCTTGCTTAGGAGAAAGTCTCACCTATCAAATTATGTTATTTAGTAATAGCATACATCAAAGTTTATTATTTTTATGATATGTTGTAGCCATTTATGTAACCAATTCAAAATGATAGACTTGATGTTGATGTTTACTATAATTATGTACTCTTTGATCATCCTTCAAATAGTATTAGACTCTATCTTATTTTTATTAAGTTCATCATGCATTTAACATGCATCATTTCTCATTTATGTCAACAAAATCAATTTTTGTGGTACTCTATCATGTGTTATCAAATGAATAAAAACCACTGAAGTTTCTTTCACTACTTTTTTCACTTGATTAATTTCTTTAGCAAAAAAGTAACTAGATAAATAAATTTTATAAACATTTATTACAATTGTCAATAAGCATTATTACCATTACTTATTGTGTGCATTTATGTGTTTGTGTGTATATATGCTATTATGTGCATATATCTATCTAGACAAACATAAAATAGTCATTTTGAATTGAATCAACTTATTTTCAAGTGAAACATCCTTGAGTTGATGGAAATCAATTTCATTTTGGAGTTGATTAAAATACAATCGTATTTCGAGGTTCAAGCATGGATATTTACAAACTTTCTCCTGGAATCATATTCTAATGTTTGTGGAAGTTTTTCTTTTACAAGTAAGAGAAATTCATCTGTCATTTAATTGGTTTTATTTTGAAACTTATTACTTCTATTATTTTTTAAGAATGTGTTCCTTAATGCTGGACCATATGATATTGTGAAATCAAACTTATGCTTTATCATGAGAAATGTCTCTCTTATTTCAAACACTGAATCTTTCAAAACCCGTAATCTTGGAATGTTCAAGTCACCAAACAACAATTATTCTCATCCTTTATTGTATATGTTGTAATAGTAGCCAACTAATTGTTTCACAATCAGTTTTTCGAACATCTTTCTCAAGATGTTCTCATTCAATTTGAGGAACACAACATGAGAAATGTCTCTCTTATTTCAAACACACTATGAATCTTTCATAAGCCATAATCTTGGAATGTTCAAGTCACCAACAACAATTACTCTCGTCCTGTATTGTATATTTTGTATTAGTAGTCCAGTCATTGTTTCACAATTAGTTTTTCGAACATCTTTCTCATTCAATTTGAGCAATACAAACACAAACGTTTTTATTATATCGTCATCACTAATATAATAGCATTCACCAGATTAATTCTTGTTCATACAAACAATGTCGTATTTGAAGTTTATGTTCACAATCATCATCCATTCCTATTGTTAATCTTCTCAACATACATAAGTTTATAACATTCCCCAATCTCTATAAAAATTTAATTTTTTTTCTTGTAATCTAATTTTTTTTGCAAACGTGCAATATTTTATTCTTGCTATAATCATTTTGTCTATTGATTCTCTAATCTTCCCACTCAATTTTGAATCATGGCTAACATATAACGTTATATTAACTTTAGACTCAACTCATCATTTGCACATTTTTCATAATGTTTTGGGACACTGAATATGGACGACTTAGCTTAGCCTTGCCCATTGTGCTGCATCATGAGCCAATTCTTGAGGTGAATTTGTAGTATTGCTTATCGAAAATGTCCAATCAGCTTTCATTTCATGCGATTAGGATTAGTTGTAAGAAAGGTTGTTGGCCTCCAAGTTTCCTCATCTTGGTTTGGGATTGGTAAAAACAGTTTTGGTAGTATCTACTGATATAATATATGTCATGGCACGGTAGTGTTTGATTGGATGGTTATTTGGTTTTAAATACTTGAAATTGCATGGATTTAACTTTTATGCGTTAACTTTTCCTTGATTTTTTTTTTTTTTTTTTGCGATCTCTGTGAAGTGAACTCCCTCTACCATGATTCTTATTGTCTCTATCATGAAATTTTTTCATCAACCATATAGGAATATAGTTTTTTTTCAAGTGTTTTAAGCTGTAACCTACTTGAATCTTTCCTACTTGTATATCCAGCTCCTAAATCTTTATCTAAACCTCTGACAAAAAATCCACTCTAATTAGAAATTGTTTAATGAATATTTGATTTGTGTTAGCAACGTATCTTGTACTTTGAAATAGATGGAATCAAAGGCCAAATCTCTCAAGTTTTTTTTTTTAATTTCCAAAATCTGTCACCACCCTCTGCTTTTATGTCACTGTTGGTTTTCCCATACATCTAATTTCCAGTCAGAACAAGTAAAGGGTGCTGAGTTTCACTCAAATCTTCAACATTTACTTGGCATTTTCGCAGAGTTGACTTCTCTTTGGGTGTCCTTTTTATCTCAAAATCTCCTCTGACTTAAACCTCGATGATTCAGGTAGCCGAGCGATCGCTATTTCTTTGGAACAACGATCATGTTCGAAACTTAATCACTCAAAACCGAAAGGTCATACTGCCCATCATCTTCCCCGCCCTGGAGCGAAATTTAAGAGGCCATTGGAACCAAGCTGTGCAAGGTCTAACTCTAAACGTCAGAAAACTCTTCTTGGATGCTGACCAGGAACTCTTCGAGGAATGCTCGCTCAGGTTCCAAGAAACAGAAGCCAAGGATAAGGAGTTGCAGGCGAAGCGCGAATCGACGTGGAAGCGATTAGAAGATGTAGCTGCATCCAAAGCCATCAGCAATGAGGCCGTCCTTGTTTCCCAAAAGGTATCCTTTCTCAGCATGTCTACCACTAGCCCTCGCCCTTCACATGGTTCCTAATCACATTCCTTCCATCAAGTTTGATGATCAAATCCCTATGATTTTCTGTGTATGGAGGAGGATTTATCAAGATATATTGGGGGACTGCTCTGAGTCTTTTCTGGTTCTTGTTGTTGTTGTTGCTGTCTTCATCATTAGGGTTTGTAAAATGCTATCAGGCCATGAAAAATGTAATTGTGTGTGTATAATCTGGAATTGGTATAGAGTTGGATCTTCCATGGATTTCATATCAAAAGCCACGAGTATTAGCAGCATTTTTTGTTTTTTTTTTTAAATTCTAATTCTGAACTTAGTTTGTCCCATTGTTTAATGGAGTTAGAACCGAAGGAAAGTGTTGTCCTAAATTATACTTCGAACAAATTTGTGATTATGATGCAATTTTTGCTTAAATTTTCTTGTCTTTTTGAAGATTGCTACTGATGTGTATGGAGATTGTACAAAATAAAATTTAGTTGCTGGACATCATAATCTGGTTGAATTCCTGGTGCTATAGCTAATGCCTTGTTTTTTCTTTTTTTCTAAGCTCATTAGGTGAATTTGATTTGCCTGAAAGCTTGTGAAATTTGGTTGTTTTTGTCATTGAAAACCTGACACTTGAAGTGAGAAGCTACATTAAGCTTCATTTGGGAAGGCTTTTTTTAATTGTTTCTAAGGGCAGTTTTTTAGTACAAAAATTTAAATTTTTGTACTAAAAAGTTATTTTAAGAAGTATTAAGAAAGTCATCCCGAATGAAGCCTCAGTGAGAAGACTAGGTGGAAGTCGAGCATTAAGTGAGAAGAAGGGGGAGCATTATCATTTAATGCTATAAAAAAGATTATATTTGAATAATGTAAGCAAAATTATGTAATGAAGGTTAACAAGTTTTAATGGTAAAATACTATAACATCATTAAGTCTATTATCACGTTATATGGGATTAGCATTATGAATTTTTATTCTCTATTATTCTATTAAGAGTCAATATCTCATTTAAATTTAATAAAAAAAAGTTTTTTCTAATACTTTCAAATGAAGTCTTTTTAGGTTTACCTTCATCTTTTTATTGTAAATTGGGTCTAATACATCTAATCTTCTAATGGGGTCATCGAAAAGCCGACTCTTTATATGACCAAACCATCTAAAGTGACTTTCTAATTTTATTTGTCATTGGAGTTATTCCAATTTCCATGCATATAGCCACTCATCTACATGAGCATCTTCATCTCTGCAGCACTCAACTTAATTTTATGATATTCTAATAAAAGCTATAACATTTTGCGTCATAAAACATTACAAGTCTCACCATCATTTTATAAATAAGATTTTTAAAATAACTAAAAAATAAAAATCTCACCATCATCTTATAAAATTTTCTTCTAAGTTTGAGTGGTGTTATTCTATTATACAACAAGTCCCCGACACATTCTTCCACTTCAACCAGCTTAATTCTTATAATAATATCTCTATCTATTTCACCATTGTTTTAAACAATATATCCAATGTATCTAAAACGGACATTTTTTTTTTATGACTTGATCACCCAATGTCACAATCCCACTATCGTTGGAGAGTCTCAAATCATGGATGAGAAAAGTGGAGGATTGCATTAAGTAGTCGACAACTCGCGTAAAACTTATCAAATAATTATAACATGAATCCTTTAATTATAAAATAAATGAACCTAAATAACTTGTAGCTACTCTTTAAAAAAAAAAAAGATATATAGAAAATTCTTGATGAGCTTTAAATAAAGGATGAGATCCTTAAGAATGAAGCTTCTTTGATAAAGTATAAGATGATTTCACTTTTACTATGCTCTTAATTTTGATGAGTTAATGCTAATTGTATAGAAGAGTTAAAAGTGTAGGCAATAGATAAGTAGAACTCTTTATAGCCTATCATCTTCTTCATAGCTATGGAGAAAACTAAGAGATACAGTAGCCAAGAGATATTTGGAATGTTTCTTTAGAGCTTTAAGTAGTACGAAAATAGCTATGGAGATGATTTTGCATTGAAGTTTGTTGCATGTCCACAAACAAGTCAATTCAATGGTGGTGTTGAGTTCTTATCGTCAGTGGCAAAAATTTTTTAAGGGTGGGGGCAATTTTAACACTGCTTCAACTGCTTTTTATATTCGGATTCAATTAATCACTTTATTGTTTATATGTATTATAAAAAATCATGATATAATGAAGATATGCTTGCAAATTCTATTCAAATTTTTTTTGGAAATCCCTCACGGGAAGCACCTGATGCGGGACACAGACTCTCTCCGCCTCTGCTTGTTGTGCTATTCGATTCATCATAGATTGACCTCTAATGATATCGTTATTAATTGTGTCCAAATTCTACTAGGAAGAGGTGTATCATTGATGAATATTGAGTTCGAAACCTGCTAATTGTCCAAATTATCCTCCTATAAAACTAGTCATTATTTTTGTTTTTTCTTGCAAAAGGATGATTTTTTTTTCCCTTTCCAACCCTTTTTTTTTTTTTCTTTTTTGCAAGTTATGAAAAAAGTTCTTTTTGTTTAATTTATTTTTGTGAAATCAATTTTTTAACGGACGGTATATCAATTTTTGTAAAATTAAATTTTTTCACAAATACTAAATTTAAAGTAATTATAAAAACTTGCACAATCAATTATTATGTTCTTAGGAAGAACTTTTTGACGCTTCAACTTCCATGACATTTCACATATAAATAACCCTACATGCTTTCATTTGATCTTTTGCACTATATTTCTTCATTTCTCTTGGGTGACTTCCTCTTGTCCTTTCCCAATGGCTATACCTCTTTTGAGCACAAACTTCAAACTTATAGAAAATGCACAATAGACACTATGAAATGTTCAGACATCAAAGCAAGCAATCAATTGTCTTGAACATAACTATATTCTTGAAAAATAACATTAAACAAGAGCAAGGACATTTTAATAAACTCATGATCTAAGTTTGGCAAGTGATGATATGATGTTTGATTTGAAGGAAATGCAAGAGGAGCAACAAGATTTTATCCCACTACATGAATCATTTTTCTCCATTGTCTCCTGTTAAGAGTCAATTTCTCATCTAAATCTAATAAAGAAATGTCATTTCTAATATTTTCCAATTAAGTCTTTTTAAGTCTATCTTTATCTTTCTTAACATATGTCAAATCTAATACATTTATTTTCCTAACTGGTCCTCATAAGGCCACCATTTTATGTGACCAAACCATCTAAGGCGACTCCCTCTAATCTTATCTTCGACTGGAGCTACTCCAATCTTTTCACGTATATGCTTGTTTTGTATCCCTTCTCTAAGAGTAAAGGCAATCATCTATCTAAGGTTCCTCATCTCTGCAACACTTAACTTAATAATATGTTTCTCTTTTAATGGCCAACATTCTGCACCATAAAGCATTATAGGTCTCACTACCATCTTATAGAATTTTTCCTTAGGTTTGAGAGTGACTTTTCTATTACACAACAAGCCTGATGCATTCCTCCCAACCATCCAACTTAAATTCTACTAATAATATCCTCATATATTCACCATCAATCTGAACAATAGACACAATATATCTAAAACGTGTACTCTTATTAATGACTTGATAGCCCAAAATCACAATCCCCACATGAGTTCTATTATTACTAAAATTATACTTCATATATTCAATTTTAGATTCTACTCAAATGAAAGTCTTTAGACTCTAAGGTTGAGCTCTATAGTTCAAATTAACCTTCAACTCCCTCTAATCTTATCAACAAGAAGAATATCATCAGCAAAAAATATAAATCATGGTACAACCTCTTGCAAATGTTTAATGAGAACAACCATGAATAAAGCAAAAAGATATGGGCTTAAGCCTGGTCCTTGATGTAATCCAATTGAAATAAGAAAATACTTGATCAAGGTGGAAATACTTGATCAAGCCACCTTGTGTTTGAATAAAAATAATAGCTCAGGCATAAATATCCTTAATGACTTGAATATAAGCATTATTAACTCTTTTCTTATGTAGACATCTTCAAAGCACTTCTCTTGGAACTTTATCATATGCTTTATCTAAATCAATAAAAATCATATGAAGATCCTCCTTATTCTCTTTATACTTCTCTATCAAACCTTTCAATAAACGTATAGCTTTCATAGTAGACCTACCTATCATGAATCCAATTTGATTTTGAGAAACATAAGTATCACGCCACAACCTATGCTCCATAACTCTCTCCGATATTTTTAAATTATGACACCTTAACTTAATTTTTTTATAATTCGCATAATCTTGTGCATCACCTTACTATTAAAAATAGGAATCAACACACTCATTCTCCACTCATCTCACATCTTTTTAGTCATCAAAATAATATTAAAAAGTATAGTAACCCTTCATCTCCTAAGCATTTCCACACCTTTATTGGGATACCATAAGATCTAACAAATTTTCCACACTTCATTTTCTTTAAAGCCTTTTTAACTTTGGTTTTACTAATACCCCGGTAAAAATAAAAATTTTTATTTTCATTTAGGGTATGGGTGCCAAGGTCACTAAAGTCAATCACATTTTCATAAACTTCATCGAAAAGTTTAGCAAAATATTTCATCTACCTTTGTTAAATATCATTTTCTAATAAAAATATTTTTTGATCCTCATACTTAATATACTTCACTTGAACTAAATCATTACTACTCATGTCTCTTTGTTTAGCTAACTTATGCATATATCTTTCGCCATCCTTAGTATCTAATCTATTACATAAATAATTAAAAATTAAAATCTTTGCATTACAAATTGCTTTTTTAGACTTCTTACGAGTCTCTTTATATTTTTTTTCAATTATCAAAATTTTTATAATAAGTCTTCTTACCTTTTATATTTTTTTGCACATTTTGATTCTACCATCAACTATTTTTATTATTAATAATGTTTCTCTTTGATACTCCAAACACATCTTTTATAACATTCTTAATATAACTAATTTATATTAAGATCTTAAATCTTATTCTCAAAATTTATTTTTTAAATTCTTTAAATGCCCTCATCTAATTCTAGAACAACGATTTACTTTATTTTTATTTTTTGCTCCTTCGTCTTAAAGTCCAAAACTCATAAGTGATGTTGAATACATAACCTTCCACTCTAAATAACTTTCCACTCTAAATAACTTTACAATCTAAACAATATATTCTTCATACAAGAAAATAATCAGAGTTTTACTATACCCATTCTTATAAGCGATGAAATATTCATCTATTTTCTTAAATAAGGTATTAGCAATTATAAAATCATAAGTTATAGCAACCATGAATACTTTTAAAATAATCTACTCTCTACCAACATATCAATGTAAATCTCCTCCAATAAAATTTTTTTTATTCGAGAAGTAATTTTTATATTAATTTTTCAAAGTCATTTTAAAATTTTAATTTTGAACACATATCCAAACCTACCAGAGGAGCAGAAGCGCTTATAATATTAATAATCTTAGCATCAACAATAATCTTTAAA